CGCATCTTAGGAGCAGGAGATGGAGAATCGTCGCCAGCCTGGTGCAAAGACGAGGCCTCACGCTGGGTCGTTCTGGGGAGAGTGGCCAACTGCTCCAGGGGAAAGAGAGATCCGCGTAGGGTATCGATGTGGAACAAGCTGCTTTCTGAGATGGCCATGTCACAAAAGCCACCACCACAATAGGCTCGTAGTGGGCTCTCATTGGTATTTGCAGCAGAGAGGCCAATGACTGAATGGACCTAGAGACGGCAGTATGTTCCTTACCACGTCCGATGGCTATTTATTTATTTTCCAGTAGCCCCCATCTGAGATTAGAGCCCTACTCTGCTATGTGCTGTACATACACATAGTGAGCGATCGAGAGTCCCTGCCCCAAAGAGGAGAAACGGTCCCCGCAGGTCTGATTTGAGAAACGTTGTTGGAGGACTGAGTGGGAGGCTACCACTTGCTCGTGCCCTGTTTGGCGAGTAAATAAGGGACTGTGCCCTCCGGGGTGCCATTCCGGCACCACTGAAGCCCTGGAGCTAAAAATAAATTCCCAAGCGAGCTGACTTTGCAGTTAGCTACCTAGGATGAAAACAGAGAACTCCGTTTTGCTGTGGCTATTAAGACGTTGTCAGGAGATGGGTTGATGGCACTAATCACGAATTTCTCCACTGCGGAAACCACCCCAGTGACCAGGTTCTGATCCGGAAGCAGATTCCCCAAAGCATGGGTGTGCCTCATGTGCCAGTTTTGTCTATTATAGAGTCAAACCCATCGTTCGAATTCAGATCCAAATTCCCCCAGTGTCCAAGGTTTTTGATTCAGCCCAGCTCTGCTACAAGTAAGGTGTGTGGGTGACTCACGCTGCTTTTCCTCCCGTGATTCTGTGTTAAACAAGGGGGACAAAGTCATCCCTTCCGTAACGCCACAGAAGTCAGCCGAGTTAAACCAAGGATTAATCTAGCTTCTGCCCTGCAAGATGGATTAGAGGGCTTAAAAAATACCTGTTACATCTTCAGAACAATAGGTAAGATGCACCGGATGTGATTTTTCTGAGGTGCTGAGCACCCATTGCTTCAGGTGACGTCCATGGGAACCGGGCGGCCCAGAAAATTAGACCCAATATCTGCATTAGATACAAATAATGTAATAAACGGTTATAACTTACCCAGAGACTCATGATTAGCCAGAATAATGGGAGCTTCATTGGCTTGTTACAAGCCCAAACTCTAATTTCCTTGCAAGGCTTTGGTGCATGTTTGTTGTTTGTACCGTCGCTGGGCTGTGAGACCAATTTTCATTTTGCATCCTTGCACCCACTAGGGATCCAGACTACCTTTAGGGGGCGCTGCTAGCCTTACCTCCTTAGACAGGTCTACTCCTAATGTAGGCCTCTGGTGATACGCTCCTCGGTTGTCATTACACAATCTCTGTTCAGGAAACAAGACTCTGTCTGTGAGACGGGAGGAGAAATCAGACTTTACTATCAAATCAGATTGCAAGCTGTTTGGGACAGGGAACACGTCTGTCGCTGGGCTTTGAGCCCCTAGCTCAATGAGGCCCAATACTGATGGGGTATGGGTTAGGGTGATCAGATGTCCCGATTTTAAAGGGACCGTCCCAATTTTTGGGTAACATAAGAACATAAGAACAGCCGTACTGAGTCAGACCAAAGGTCCATCTAGCCCAGTATCCTGTCTACCGACAGTGGCCAATGCCAGGTGCCCCAGAGGGAGTGAACCTAACAGGTAATGATCAAGTGATCTCTCTCCTGCCATCCATCTCCACCCTCTGACAAACAGAGGCTAAGGACACCATTCCTTACCCATCCTGGCTAATAGCCATTAATGGACTTAACCTCCACGAATTTATCCAGTTCTCTTTTAAACGCTGTTATAGTCCTAGCCTTCACAACCTCCTCAGGCAAGGAGTTCCACAAGTTGACTGTGCGCTGTGTGAAGAACTTCCTTTTATTTGTTTTAAACCTGGGGGGTCTATAGGCTCCTATTACCCCCCACCCCCTGTCCCGATTTTTCACATTTGCTGTCTGGTCACCCTAGTATGGATACTACTATAACCAACCCTGCTGGATCTGTTCGCAGCATTTAAACCTGCAATCTCCAGCTCTAAATGCATGAGCCCTCACTACTTCAGCTGAAAGACTACATGGGGGATTTTCAAAAAGCACTTAGGTGGTGCCTTAGAAGTACAAACCCCACTGACTTTCAATGGGGCCAGTGGGGTGGGATTTGCAGAAGCACCCATCTGACCCAGGAACAGACGTCACCTCGCAAGGCAATGGAAATTTTGTTTTTGAAAATCTCACCCTACATTTTGAATGTTGCATGCACCCTCTTCTCTTTCCCAGGAGCTGACTAGAACTCCTGAATCAAAGAAGCCCCGAAAGTTGGGGGTATTTGAAAACTAAATCCAGATTGGATTTGCAGCTTGAGTTCACTTCCAAGCTACCCTATGAATGCGGAATCTATCCCACATTTGATAAATGGAGACTTCCTTTTATGGCTCTGCTGTTCTCGTGCTTTGAAGTCATCCCTATCATCTGAGTGGCAGCCTGGTATTGTGGTTGGAGCATGGAAATAGGAGTCTGGAGATGTAGGACCCAGTACTGACTCTGCTCCTGACTCGCTATGTGACCTTGGGCCAATTACTTAATTCCGCTATGCCTCAGTTTCCCAACTTGTAAAAAGGGGTTAGGAACATCAACTCTGCAGGATTGTGAGGGTTAATTCACTCATGGTCGCAAAACATCTTGAATGTGCAAAATGCTCCTTTGGCATAGTTCCCTCTATACCACGTACACAGAATTTGAGTGTAGTATATTGTGTCGCTAATACCCATCAAAACTCACTTGAGCAATACAGACGCATCATAGCCACAGAAGTGTGTATGCTAAGGAGCAGAAACAAAAGAAGAGGCTGTGTCAGTGAGCGAGGGATTTCTAGGTAGCTTTCCTTAGGGTCGGTCACCCTTCTGGCCTCGTTGTATAGATATTAGGGCATCATGAGAATGCTTGGTCTGGAGCATATAAAGCCGGTGAAATTGATTAGTTTGGACTCCCCCAAGACTCACTCCTCTCAGAATTCATGGTCACCCATCACAAGATGTCTCGGAAAACTGGCTCCTGGCCCGTGGATTTGAGGGGAAGAAAGAGGCCTTACAGAGGTATATGAGTCCATGGACTCGATTTCAAAGTCCTTACAAGGCAAAGGTTCAAGTAAAGTTTTGCATGAATGGGCTGTAGGTTTGGCCTGCAGGATCAGGTGAGGGATAAGGGCTAAACTCTCATCTGTTACACCAGTTGAGTAGAGAGGAATCTGGCTCTGTCTGTAGAGCTCTTCACCTCCTATGTCTCAGGGTATGTCTACACCCAGCCGCTAGTTCGGCGGCTGGGAATCGAAGTTCTGGGTTCGACTTATCGCGTCTTGTCTGGACACGATAAGTCGAACCAGGAAGTGATCGCCGTCGACTGCGGTACTCCAGCTATATGAGAGGAGTACCGCGGCGTCGACGGGGGAGCCTGCCTGCCGCGTGTGGACCGAGGTAAGTTCGAACTAAGGTACTTCGACTTCAGCTACGTTATTCACGTAGCTGAAGTTGCGTACCTTAGTTCGAATTGGGGGGTAAGTGTAGACCAGGCCTCAGAGTTACAATTTGAAACCCATCCATCATACACCACTGCGTTTCTTACCTCCCCTCTTTCACACGTCTTACATTTCACACCCACAACTTCACCTTCTGAGACTATTCGTCCTGATTCTCAGTTACACCAAGGCCCCTTTACATCACTCTGGCAATGAAAAGGAGGGCTCATAAGGGGTGTAAATGTTTAGTGTAAAGTGTCCTTAGTGCAAATAAGAATCATGCCCTATAGACTCATATTATACTCAGCAAAACAGTCCACGTATTTTGAGGTCCACTCCTACGCCAAGTCAATGGCAAATTCCCCGTTAACTTCAGTGGGCCCCCGAATTGTGCCTGGATTAGATCCTGCAATCCTCGCCTACACAAAACTCTGATATCGCAGGGCGCTTTGGATAAGCAGGAATGCACAATCAGGACCTTTAAAGAGACTTCCACTGATACATTGGGAAGGGAAAAAAATATTTCAAATTGTGACTTAAATTCGTCCCGGATTACACAATTTTTAAAGATAGCCACAGGCCCTTTTTATTTAAAAAAAAAAAAAAAAAAACAGATGTAGAAAAGTTTGGCTGAAAATTAAAAAAACCCAATGCAACATCAAGCACAATAAATGCTTCCCCTTTGAACAGTTTTGTCCAGAACTACAGCAATCTAAATGATAAAACAGTCATTGTATAAAAACATATTTATTTAAATTAAATATTTTATGCGAACTCATATCTACACGCATTCAAAATGCATAAGAGTCACACACAAAAAAAGATGGAAAGTGTTAGCTTAAAAGTTGTGGTTTTTTTAAAGTATTATTTGCAATTATATTATCATTTGCAATTAATTATGCACTCAAGATTGAAACCAGAAAATCATAACCATGCTACTAACTAATCATAACCAAATGTCATACAGTAACCCTAAGATTAATCATGATACATAACTGATTTAAAATAAAATGTCATCTTTATGAAAAAAGAGCAATACAAAATATGACGGAGAAATAATGGAACATACAAATCGATGTACAGCTTTATTACAAGCAATAATATACTGACGTAAAGAGGAATGGGCATTTCATTTCTAAACATTAAGTATTTGCCTTCAAATGATGCTTGATACAAATGTGTCTGCTACGTATCACCTCTTTTCCAAAGTGCTCATCACAATAAATTCTTTCCAGCTGTGGCTGCAGGTAAAGGGGACATGATGGGATATTACTCAGGTTCTTGGCCTTCGGAGTAGCTGTTACGAAGGCCACCAGCATGGCTACGTACATGGGAAATTACTTGTAGTGACTCAGGCAGGGACCGATCTTGCTCCCATTTAACTCAGTGAAAGCAGGATCAGAGCCTAGAGAAGTCAAGCTGAATTTTATAGCGTGCGCAAAATTCAGCTTCAAACAGAAGCTGAGCCGTAACCTTACCGCTGGAGCAGCTAGCAGTCAGTCCATTATCACAAGACCATGTTGTGTCACCGCACCACAGTTCCAGTTATTGTGACCCTCCTCTCCCACTCAAGTTGTTCAGGGTGGGGGGTGGGAATGACATCAGGGTTCCACCCTGGGCCAGATCTTTCCTTTCTTGGGTCTGATCTTTCCTTCCATACACTCTCAGAGTTCCACTGAAATCCACAAAAAGTTTCAGGAGCCAAAGAGGCACAGAGGGGGGCTATGTGGGTGCAACAGATTAGAATAGATGCCTTTGCATACACAGGACCAAATACACTGCTGGCACTAGGGACTGCAAGTCCAGTGACTTCACCGGAATTGCATTCCTTATGCTAGTGCACACTCAAAAACTCCCAGCCACTTCCGTGAAACTGTTGAGTACATAGGGAATGCAAGACCAGGCCAACAGAAAACACACACGGCTATGAATGAACGCCTCAGAGCTCTCTTCGGTTAAAGCTCGTCACGTAGGGTAATTACGTGAGAACAGGACATTCATGATCCCCTGATCGTATTCTCTCTGTACAGCAAGAGCTGGTTGTGACAGCCACCATCTTAGCCAATACTGGAACTGGAAACCTGCATTACTGAACTAGTGACTACAGCTTGAAGAGCCAGGTTCTGTAGGTAGGGACAGTAATGGAGTCACTCCAGCAGGCCCAGAAGGCGGCACACACTGATCAGAGGGTTACGTTAACTCATTTGCCACCTCTTTGCTTTCCCCCCCATCCCTACCACAAGGGCATAGTGCTACACAGAACAAGACTCAGGGGCTGATTTTTCAGAGGAGCTGAGAATCTGCAGCCCCCATGGGATCCAGCTGGAATTGAGGGAGCTCTGGCCCAGATCCAGGAAATTAGGACCTTAAATACCTTTACGGAGCTGGGCCCCGGTGCCACTGAAAAATCAGACCCACCATCCAAAGACTTGTCATGCTTATAAAATAAATTGGTAGGAGGACTGTAGCCAGTGACCAGCTGGCTTGGAAAAGGGACTTGACCACAGACCTTTTCTGAAGCAGGATATCAAATACCTTTTAAAGCAGGATACTTAATATTGATGCCAGTGGATGTCTGAGAAGCAAAATCCATTACCTAGGACAGAAAGGAGGCTCCAAAACCGTTTCAGTTCTGACTTGGCAACCCTGAGGTGAGGAGCGAGGTGTCCACCAGCTGTTGTGTACATGGAGCCATGCCAATAATACTGTAGGGTCTGTCCTCGGCCAGTCCACAGGCCCTGCTCCTTCTGGCCTAGGAGACGCTGTAGTTGTTGTAGTAGGTAGCAGTGGCATCTGCTAGGACGGAGATGAGGCTAGTCTCTGTAGAGGGCGAGCCACCTGCAACCTGAGACACCTGGACGTGTCCATTGATTATCATCTCGCTGTGGTCTGAGTGGCCGGGAGTGTTGAGATACTGGTCAAACTCATTGCGGTCCATCTCCCCCAGAAGTTCTGCTTGGCTCAGCTGGTCCAGGCTGTCAAAGCCGTGGTGTTCAGGGGGCGGGGAGAGCTGACCAAGATGGGCCTGGAGGTTGGGGGAGTGGATGGGGTGGAAGGCTGGCGTGTAGTAGGTGGGAGGAGGAGGAGGGGGGCAGCTGGGGATTGGGGGGATCATGGAGGTGCTGGGCTGAGGGATGGACATGGGGCCAAGGGGATGGTGGTTACACTGGAGGGGGCTGGTGGAGTACTCTGGAGAGTAAGGGGCCCCAGTCATATGGGGGTGGTGATGCTCCTCCGGGCCTGGGGAGGAGAAGAAGCTCTGCTCAGGGTCTATCACATCCAAAGGGGACATCTCAGGCGGGGTGGGCAACCCGTAGGGGTAGGTGTCCATGTTGGTGCTGCTGCTGCTGCTGGCCTGGGCCTCCCTGTAGCCCCTGATGCTCTGCAATACCGGGCCAGGCGAGTACTCACCCTGCCCCTCCTTTCCCCCCACTGTCCTGCCGCAGGCCCGCTTCTCCGGCACCGAGTTCTGATCCCTGGCGAGGTTCCCCAGCAGAAAGCCTGGATCCACCCGCTTGCAGATCCGCTTGACCTGCTTCTTCCTCCTGGGCCGGTATTTGTAGTTGGGGTAATCTTGCATGTGCTGCACCCTCAGTCTTTCCGCCTCCTCCACGTAAGGTCTCTTCTGGGAAGGGCTCAGAGATTTCCAGGACTTGCCTGCAACAAGGAAGGAACAAAAATCCTCTTAGAATCCACAGCTGTGGCATCTGCGCTGGGCATGGCGGGTCTGTTTCCCTAAGCACCCAGAGAGCGCTGGCTGGGACCAAGGGACAGAGCCTAGTCTTGGAGAAAACAATGGTCAAACACCCACTGAATCCAATGGAACTGGGATTTGGCCTCAGTACAGCTATATGACCCTATACAAAATATTGGGTCGAGGGGAGTGCATGAATCCTACAGCTCTAGGGAGTGGGGCATCCCCAGGATAGCAAAAAATGAAGGTCGAGGGGAGTGCATGAATCCTACAGCTCTAGGGAGTGGGGCACCCCCAGGATAGCAAAAAATGAAGAGGTTGGAGTGGGAGGGATAGAGCCATGTGTGGCTGGTATTCCCTTTCCTCTTTAAACAACCGCTTTCATCAGCGGCTCCCTGACTCGCAGCCCTGCCCAAGCTGCGGAGAAAGCCCCTGGGTCTTGTAACTAGACCAAGCCGAGTTTCTGCAAAGCGGGCAACTTATCTCCTGCCCTCGAGCCCCAGAACACGACATAAAAGGAAACAGACCCAAGTGCTGGTGGCAGTTTCCAAGGGGGAAGATGGAAACAATCTGCCCGTTCCCCACAGAGACTAGGGGGGCTGGACACATTGAGGGATGCGACGTTTTTAAAACAAAACACATTCACACAAGTTAATTGCACTTTGGGAAGCAACCCGGGACCATAAAGGGCTGTCGGTCAGTTTGGGGAGGGAATTTCTCCCCCTCCAATCACAAAACTGGAGAAAGGAAAAGAAAAGACCAAAGAAATCAGTGACTTTGTTTTGAGGCATAAACAATCAGCGCCCTGAAGATCTGTTTCCCCCCGGCCCAGACACTGGCTCTTTGCCTCCTGGGTCTAACGAACGGGGCGGATCGGAGAGTTCGCAAAACTACTACAACGTGACAACTTCACGCCGGAAAACAACGCGAGTCGGGGACTTCTTTGTCCCCGCTTTGCTCCGGCCACGGAGTCCCAGCCGGGTCCCCCAAACCCAGCCAGGATCGGAGAGACCAAGCGCACAACCGGGGCCGGCCAGTCGCGCTGCCCGGGGTGTTGTGTCTGAGCCAGGCGAACACCTGCTTGTGTTTGGATACCCGAGTCTAGACCGGCAGGGGAGGTCCCAGGGGGCGGCCGGGGTTAGGGTCGAGGCCGGGGGCAGGAGCGTGGGCTTCCCCCCCCCCTCCCTCCCTCTCCGGGGCCACCCAGCGCAGGGGGCACCGGGGGATGGATCCGGGCCGCCGGCCCCGCGGGCAGCCTGGGGGCTCCGGCTCACCGAGCATCTTGCTGAGTTCCGCGTTGTGCAGGTCCGGGTTCTGCACCGCCAGCCGCTTCCTCTCGTCCTTCGCCCACACCATGAAGGCGTTCATGGGTCTCCTGATGCGGGGCTCCGAGCCCTTCTCCCCCGGGGAGCGGTGCGCGGCCGGCGGGGAGAGCCCCTCCGGGAGCTCCCCGTCCAGGGCGGAGCAATCCAGGCTCTCGGACCACGGGTAGGAGCCCAGCAGGGAAGCCATGGCCGGGACACCCCCCCCCGCTTCGCCCCTGGCCCCCTACCGCTCCCCGCCGCCTGGCTCCGAGTCCCCCCTGCAGCGCCCGGGGCTCCCTGGCTGTCCCCCCCTCCCTCTGGCACCGTAATCCAGGGGGCCCCCGGCCGAGCTGCACCCTGCTGCCCGGGCGCTGTATTTATGAGCTCCTCGGAGAAGCTTCCTCCAATGACACCGAAGGTGCCTGCGGCTCCTCCTTGTTTTCAAACTCCGGCGCCCCAGCCAGGAGGCCTGTGAGCAACTTCTCCCTGCAACCTGCCCGCAGCAGAGGGGCTGGCTCAGCCCCCGGGGGGACCCCCCCGCACCGGCCTTCCAGCCCGTCCCCCCCATCCCTCCTCCAGCTGCTTCTCCCACCTCGGATTGCTGGGGCGCCCGCCCCGCCCCGGGGCGCCCTTCTCCTGCCCCCAGGGGACAATGGCAACCAAGCGAGCAAGGCTCCAACTCCACCTGTCAGCCGCAGAGCAAGTCTGGTGATGGGGGGGGAGAGGGGGGCAAGCGTCCAGGTTCAACATCCAGCCACCTGGCTACTCCAGCCTGCGATGTGTGCCCCGCTGGGCAGCTCTGGTTGAAAGAGGGGAGAAAAGAAGACGCTGAGCTTTCAACAAGATCTGAATTCTCCCGCCTTAGTCTGATTGCAAATTCATAATAAAAGGACAAAGGCCTGGTTTACACACACACACACACACACACACACACACACACACCTCTGATCCCAAGATCTCACCGCCCTCTGTAAAGCGGAGAGATCACATTACCCTTTACTTGCAATATAGGGAAACTGAGGCACGTGGCAGCCACGTGACTTGACCAAGGTCCAGTTGCCAATCAGCTGCAAAACCACTCAGGCCCTAGCCCCCGCTGCCCCAGCCACTAGACCGTGCGGGGGTTTGTCTGACAGTGCTTGTTTCCGACTGGTCAGGCGGGCCCCAGACCCGAGGAAATCTCCGCAGAGCCGCAGTGTGGACGCCTACGGGCCGCAGCCAAACAGAAATCAGATGAAGGCACCTGACAGCCTTATAGGGACCTTTAACCAGTCCGAGACCGGCAGCCCTTGTTGCTGGGCGACTTGCGACCGAGATGTTGATACACTTCGCGTGAGCTTCAGATTCACCATGTAAATAATGAATCCAAGGGGCAACGCCCCCAAAAGGGGGCTGAAGGCGACCTGGGTTTTGTTACCCACAAATGGCCCAAGCAAAGCCCAGGCTCCCGCTTTTCCAAGACACTTGTGACTAGGGTGACCAGACAGCAAGTGTGAAAAATCCAGACGGGGTGGGAGGGTAATAGGAGCCTATATAAGAAAAAGATCCAAAACTTGGGACTGTCCCTATAAAATCGGGACATCTGGGCACCCTACTTGGACCACATCAAAAGAAGGGCCTCTCAGGGAGGCAGGAAAAGCCCAACACGCCTAAAAGAAAGGAAGACACACCCTGGTCCCCCCAACACTACAGATCCCCCCTTCTCTCTCCAGAAGCATGAATTTGCCCTTTAAACAATCCAGCCGCTGTCACCCCGCCCGCGCCCCCTCCAGGTGTAAAAGTTTGTCTCCTTGACAACCCCCTGCTATTTTGCACCCCTGCGCATCACCTGGTTGGAAATCCAGGATGTGTCAAGTCAAAATCTCATCACTCCAAAGATGTTGCTTAAAACAACAACAACAAAAACCCAAGAGCCAACAGCAGGTGCTGCTTGTCGGACAGAGAACTAGGGATGAGTTTTAAGAAGTGTTTGGAAAGTTTCAGCCAGAAACGGTGGGGTCTAAATAGCTCTCCCCCACCCTGCACCAGAGACCGAGGTGCAGCCAACCCCAGCCTGCAAAGGAATCTGAAATCCTGGCCTCCTCTGGGGCTAGGCGGTGTCAGGAGAAATGAAAGCCAGCGCCTCCCCCGCGCTGAAACGGTTCTAGTTAGGCCCTGGGTTCCTTTATGACTCTGACCCCCTGACATGACTTACAGCACTTCAGCGGCTCCCGTTTGAACGATGGTGGATTTCCTATTTGTGCTGCCAGACAGCCGAGCTGGGGAGGGATTTCCTTCAGCCGGGGGTTAGAGGCGTTTCAAAGTGTCGGGAGATCGTTTGGCTGCTCTGCACAGAGAGTCCCAGCGGGACCTGGGTGTTTGGACAGGTGGACCGCAGACAGGGCGATTTCAAACACGTGTCTCAGGTTCTGTTGACACTTGCCAGATTAAAGGTGCTCTAAAGCGTGGCGCGTAAACGTGTTGTGCGGGACCAAGATCCGGCTCCGCTTCCTGATCCTCTGTACATCATCTGAAATTATTTCGAGCTGTTAAACTCAGAAGTGTATTACGACGTACTGTGGGGGCAGAATTGCTAGAGAAACGTTGCGCGAAGTTATTCTAACACCCTGGCAAAGCAACTGCCCTTGTGAGGCTCTCTCGGTAACCAGAATACTTTTAAACATCAACGTTTTCCAAGGGAAACTGATTAAATCTAGTTATTTACAAGTGGGTTTGATCTCAGTCTCTGTTATCTGAGAACACAACAAGAAGGCAACTTCTCTTAAATCTAAAAGGCACAGGAGATTTCCTGGATGTCAAGCCAGATTTTTAAATTCCTTTAAAAAATAATCAAGGAGGTAGTTATTCCCCTAATCTGCGTTTTGGGGGTCTGGTCTAGATAGACAGCCACAGCAAACTTCCGGGGAGGAATTCTACATGTGCAGCCTGTAACTCCCGGTAGCGACTGCGCTCTCCCTTCAAATATGTCCTGGACTCATTTACCCGATTCTTGTCAGTCTACAGTATACATTGCAAGTGTGCAGTTAGTTCCTCAATAGTAATTTAACAGGGAACATGCACAGGTCTCACTGATGCAGTTTGCACACTGCAGTTGCTGCAGAGGTCTTGATCTGAGATGCTGCAGTTTTTATATGTGGCAATCGGGAACCATTAGGAAAGGGATAATAGACAAAATATCACAATGCTACAGTATAAATCCACTGTACTCCCACATTTTGAATACATCATGCAGTCCTGGTCACTCCATCTTAAAAAAGATATATTAGAATGGGGGAAAAGTACAGGACAGGCAACAAAAATGATTAGGGGATGGAAGGGTGTCCACATGAGGGGAGATTAAAAAGACTAGGACTATTCAGTTTAGAAAAGTGATGACTGGGAGGGATGTGACAGAGATGTATAAATCAAAAATGGTGGAGAAATTGCATTATTTGTCCCTTCACATAACACAAGAACCAGGGCTCACCCAATGAAATTAACAGGCAGCAGGTTTAAAGCGAACATAAGGAAATGTTTCATCACACAATGTAGCCAACCTGTGGAACTCCTTGCGAGGGGATGTTGTGAAGGTCAAAATTATAACTGGGTTCAAAACAGAACTAGATACACTTCTGGAGGATAGGTCCATCAATGGCTATTAGCCAGGATGGGCAGGGATGCAACCTATGCTCTGGTGTCCAGAAGCTGGGACTGGATGACAGGGGATGGGCTCACTGGATAAATTTCCCTGTTCCGTTCATTCCCTCCAGGGCATCTTGCATTGGCCACTCCCAGAAGACAGGAGAGTGGGCTAGACGGACTATTGATTTCACACACTATTCCATGCTTATGTTCTAACTTTAAGCCAGCAGTTTTGACACCCCGAAGAGGATAGTGAATTGTAGCAAAAAGGGTTCCAAGCCAATTTCAGAGAAAATTCAGTGCCTGCCTTTCAAACAGATAAGCCCCAGAGCCTGCAACCTTGAGCGGGGCATGTTATAGATGTGGGCTGCGGTTGGCCACAGTTCACTTGAGATGCCCTCACACTCCTCCATGCACAGGGAGCTAAACGGGGGCAGCCGAAATGCCTCTGCTCTTATCTGCAGGGACTCACCTCTCAGGAGTGGCTTGATTGACGGATCCCCTTCTGGCTGACACCATGTGCAGGACCTCAGACGCCTGCCTGCCCTCTGCCCCAAACACTGTAGAAAAGGCAGGAGCATTTTCGCCAAGTCTAAAGACTTAAGCCAGAGAAACTCCTGTAAACGTACTTTATTACCAAATTCACCGCCATGCCGGTCAATTTCACGTCCTTAGGATTTGAAAACTGGTCAATTTCCTATTTTCAGACGTGTACACCTGAAATAATTTCAGGGTGTTGTAACTGTGGGGGTCCTGACCCAAAAAGGGTTTTGGGGGGTCCCAAAGCTGTTGTGTGTGTGGGGGAGGGGTGCAGTTTGCAGGATTGCCACCCTCACTTCTGTGCTGCCTTCAGAGCTGGGCTCCAAAGCAGGGAGCAGGTGCCCTGAGCACCAGAAGAAGCTGCGGGGGGCTGAAGCCTCAAGCCCAGGTGGCCCGAGCCCTGGCAGATGCCATGGGGTGCTGAAGCCCCGAGCCCAGACACTGACAGAAGCCACAGGGGTGGAAGCTCTAAGCCCAGCTCCAGGGCTGCTGCCACCCTCACTTCTGCGCTGCCTCTGGAGGTGGCTCCGATTTCCCCCATCGAGAGTGGCCGTGCGGGGGAAGGACAAGTCCTGTCCCTCCCCAGCCCAGCCTGGACTAGCAGTGAGGAGCCGGCTGGGACACTCCCAGCAGCATGGGGAGATCGGATTTCATGGGCAAGTGCTTATTTCACGGTCCACATCTTTTACATGGCCATGACGTGGTAGGGCCGTAGTCATGCAAGTAGATAGATCGAGGTTTGTACAGCGCCCAGCACAATGGGGTCCTGGTCCATGGCAGCAACTCCTAAGTGCTACGATAACGCAAAGGAATAAATGCGACCGAGACTTGGAATTTCTTCTGCAACCTTCCTCTGCGTCTCTACCACATTTTAGGGGCTTCGCAAGGATACAGGAGAATGAAGGAAAACATTGCATCGCTGATTTTTGTTGGTCTGACATTTTGATTGCGTTTGTAAGATCAGTTCCATCCCGCACCCTGTTTAAACAGTGGTTAAACCTGCCCCGTAGGAACATTTAATGTTCTGAGTTACATCAAGGCCACTACGGCCACGTGAAAACGGCACTTTTCATGGTGAACATGTCAGTATAATCCGTAGCAGCCTGGAAAGCCATCACCACATTTTAATAGCTACCTCCTTGATTCTGGCATTGTGCTCTGCGGGAGCAGAATCCTGCACTCACATGGGGCCCCGCTGACTTCAACAGGACACTGCACTGCATCTATGTTGCTAGCTACCTAACTGTACCTGGAAATCAAGTAGATTGGGGCGTAAGTGCTAACAGCATTTGCACCAGCAGTTAATTATAAAACAAACAGCAAAATACAAAACTATACTTGCAAAAATGGAGGCCAGTTAGAGAAGACCTTTTTCATAAGTCTTTCTCCACTTTTGGACCATTGTGAAAGAAATATTCCTCTTCATGACAACCCAGATTTACTTCAGCTTTGAAGGACTTTCTAGTATGTAAAATTGCACACACTTCCTGGGTTAGTGTGAAATTTACACTTCGTCCTGTACAAGCAGAGAATCTTTGGGACAGATTTTAATCTCAGTTACATTATATTTAACTGCTGTAAATTCATTGCCATAAAAAGAAGTTACTCCTGATTTTACACTTGTTTTGACTGAGATTGGAATCTGGCCTTTTGTGCCTCCAGAACAGTTAGCGTCTAGAAACTCAGTGAAGTCCAATACAGAGAACAAACAAAAGATCAAAGTTAATTGGGAAAAAAAAACCCCTATTCATTTAATAGCATCTTTGAGTTTTAATTCATCCATGATAAAGGCGGTAACACTCAGCCAATGCAGATCAAGGTCAGATTTTGGCCCTCAATAGGCAGCACTCCTTGGGAGCAATGAGTTGCCTGTGCCACTCTAAATATATGGAGATATACCTATCTCATAGAGCTGGAAGGTCATCAAGTCCAGCCCCCTGCCTTCACTACCAGGACCAAGTATTGATTTTGCCCCAGATCCCTAAGTGGCCCCCTCAAGGATTGAACTCACAACCCTGGGTTTAGCAGGCCAATGCTCAAACCACTGAGCTATCCCTCCCCTCTGCTTTGCCGCTCAGAAGCAGGCCAACCCCACTTAGAACACTCACGCCGCAAACCACAGCCCCTTTCCCTGAGAAAAACGACACTTTTTTCTCCCTCAGGTCTGCAGTTTATTTGGACTCACACTGTGTAAGTGACATGTTGCTTAAGAAAGCCATGTACCAGCACCAGCCAAAGCAGCATCATGATGGCCAATATTTGCATAGCATTGAAAAGTAAATGTTACAGGGATTAAAAGGCAAACAGTACAGTGTGGAATGTAGAGGCGGCCAAAACAGCCGTTCCATTGATGTAAATCTGGAGTAATCCCACAGCAGGAAATGGCTATGTCTGGATGGGCAAAGAGGCTGCATTTTTCAGTTGTGTTAGCTTGACACAGTTGCAAAGGCCCATTGAGATGAAGGCTAACAGGTCTGAAGCAATGTTAATGAGCCGTGTTGCAGCGTAGGCTTTTCTCAGGCTACAGCACGGCCAGCTAATGCAGGTTCATACATGTTAGCCTGCATCACAGTGGGGTTTTCAATCATGTTACGCAAACACAATAAAAAAAAAAAACCAAACCCTCCCTTTTTATCTGTCAGGACAAGGCCAGTGGAGTTACTCCAGATTTAGAGTGGTGACATAAAGAGACTCTGGCCCAGAGTCAAATGCACAGTTGGAATAAAACAATATTAAAAGCCAAGCTCTACTTGGTTACACTGACTGAAATCCAGAGTAACTCTCCTGACTTCAATGGAGTTCCTCCCTGGTGCAAATGAAATCAGAATCAGGCTCAAGGTTTGTAAAAGGGTCCAAGGGAAAATGCTTCTTTAGGCCCTGATTCTGCCACCCTTACTCCAGTATCTCTTGGTGATGCCACCACCCTATCTGAGTAAGTGTGCCAGGATCTGGTCCTCGGCCTTTACACTGGTGTACACGGGCGTCGTGTGTCCCAACATTAGCTGTCCTCCATTTCAAATGTATAGCCAATTTTAAAAAATACATTTAAATAGCTAAATTGTACTAATCAATTTGGTTTTCCTTGTACAAATGGCAACTCCTTCCCTCAATGCATGCGAACAGCTACATTTGTTTAAAGTATTTTGCTAACAGGTATGCCACCTACAAAGCTCCTCACGTGTGACATTTTGAACACTGAATGGGTCAATGTAAATACCAGAATTGTGGCCTGAAACTCAAAGTTAAGCTACACGGCCAAGGCTACTAAAAAGAATTCTTGTGTAGCTCTGTAACAACAAAATACCTCCCCGGCAATAGTTAACTACTGGCTAGGGAACAAAAGGAACTATTTCGTTCCATTCTCTTGCACTGACACATGGGCACAATCCTTTAATTAGAGCAGGCATTTTAAGAGGAAGCAAAATTCATTTTAGCTGCAAAAGGAAATCAATGAAAAGGTTACACACATCTATATGGTACATGCTCAGACTCACAGAAGGCAACTGCATCGGCACAAAAGAAAACCGGGATGATAAAAAAATGCAACTGAATTAAATTTTTGCAAGGCTGGGAAGAGGGCAGTGGATGGATTAGTGATCTGTAGGCATTTTCTATTATAACACAGTCCTGTTCTTTTCTCACACTAGCAACTGGTGACTGACTTCAGTGAAATGATACCAGTGTAAGCGAGAGTAGATTCAAGTCCACTGTGCTAAAGTATAGATCTTGCTGGCAGGGGGTGGGGTGGGGTGGGGTGGGGGCGGGCTAACTACTGATTACTGGAGCACAGGCAGAGCCTAACTACAGTAGACTTGGGAAAAGCCTAGCCCACAGCACTGTTATGTACAACAGTTAATAGCATGCTTCATCCCCACCTATGGCAGGGCGGGAATACATTGTCTCGTCAACAAGAGCTGTGTTTAAAGAGTCTGAGGTTTCAGTACTGATAGAGACAGAGTGCTACACATGGGACGAACTACATTTTGATGTCTGGCTAGCATTTACAGGCTTCATATTCAACATGTCAACGTCTAACTCATTCCAAAGTCCAAGACACTGCTAAGTTAACTTGAACGTTTCTTCTTTTTTCTCTGCATTCCGTCGACATACTCAGCTGCCTCTTTTTTCTGCTTTTTGTGTTTTTTCTTATATGGTTTCTTTTGCTTTCTCTCGGAGTCGTCTTCACCAAGATTTTCCCCGTCAGATGTTCCAGGGTAAATTTCTCCGCTCCCTGGGAAAACACAAGAATTTCCATCACAACTGACATCTTCACCTTTGCGTTGACCTTTAGCTTTCTTTTTCTTTTTCCCTGGTTGGTATTCAGTGTTTGCTATCTCCAGTTCTTCTTCCCACAAGCCATCTGTTCTGGAGCGTTTCATCTTTGGTTCTTCATAACCGTCCACGTTCTCTGCCTCAGCATTTTTCCGGCTTTTCTTTTTCTTTTTGGATTTGGTTTTCAGTCCTTGTGAAGACTCTAAGTCTTCAGCTGCGGTTGTGCCAGGATCAGCTAACTCACTCTCTGGTTCTTTCTGGAATTGCTTCAGTTTTGCCATGCGCTTGGCAAAATACTCTTGCACCGTCATGGTGCTGGTCACTGTATTACTATGGTCCACTGGGTTGGGCATCCCCTGGTCTTCTTTTCTGTCCTCTTCCGGAGAATCCGCACAGGTGTTGTCCTCCTGGGGGAAATAATTTAAAGGTGATCAGGAAAAAGATTTTCAGCATACGGATTTAAAGGGGTTTTTTTTGCATTTCAACATCTAAAGAGAGAAAACAAGAAAAGTATCTAGGATCAGACACTAGACCCTACTCTGAAAGTCATGGCAGAAATCCCATGGATTTCAGTGGGAACAGGATTTAGCAATTAGTGCAGTGTGAAGGGGAGAGGGAACCAACCAACCAACCCACCCTCTTAAATTGGCAAGGGAAAGGAGAGAACATACTACATTTTTTTTGTGAACATTGCCAATATTTTGGTATCACACAAGGGGGGTATACTGAGGAATAAGGAGATAAAATTAAGGCAAGGAACATTTAGACTTAAGGGGGCCTAATTCTTTATTGTTTTGCACCATATGCAGTCATCTATGCAAATGCAAAGCATGTTTAAAATGCTCCCAAATCAGAATACTGTATTACACCCACTTTGCACAGGTACAAATGTCTCCACAAGATGCAAAGTGGTGAGGAAAAATACAGTGAGCTCTATTAATCTGTGGCATAGTCTCCCAAGGGAAGAGGTGGAAACCTCATCCCCGGAAGATACTTAAAGCACTAGAACATATGTTGTAGGGAACACTCCAGCACTGGCAGGAGGAGATTGAGGTAACAAATCTCATCTAACACCTGTGATCATTTGAAAAGTTCTTTCATAACTGTTTCGTATCATTTCACCCTAGGTGTTCCCATTTGACCATAGTACCACACTACTTAATATAGTTCATGAAGGTTGCCTGACGCTTCTCATTATAAGACCGTTTTCTGTTTTTTTCTAACTTTGCCAGGCTAACGGTTTGGGCTGACATTTTCCATGCCATGTGTCCGCCTCAGGCTGAACATTTTGGGAAGATTTCAGCAAAAATGGCTCACTGTTTCTGAGAACGAGGCTAGGGGGAAAATAATACATTTTTCAATAATGCACAAGCAACCTTAATTCTGGCATTTCTTAACTTTTGAGTGCTTGACTTTGCAACCTTAATGTTCCCTTAATATAATATATATTACACACACAGCAAAACTATCAGAAAGAACTAACTCCATTATAGGCCAGATTTAGCAAGGCTTTCACACCAAGAACCACCGCTGAACTCAACAGCGGTTCTGCACATGCACAGTTTGAGAAGAGATCCTGTATCTAGACAATATATATAAAATAAGAAGCAAATAACCAGAGTTGAGTAATGGACATACGGGATTAAGAAAAGGATTAACTTTTTAATAAAGCGATAGAAATAAACTGGGTTGAAAATACAAAGCATGTTAAGGTGTCCATTATTTACAAACAAACAAGGAAGAAATCTTGGAGTCCTTGTGAATAATTCTCTGAAAACATCCACTCAATGTGCAGTGGCAGTCAAAAAAGCTAGCCAAACACTGGGAATTATTAGGAAAGAGATAGATAATAAGACAGTAAATATCATAATGCCACTATATAAATCTACGGTATACGTACACCTTGAATACTTCATGCAGTTATGGTCATCCCATCTCAAAAAAGATATATTATAATTGGAAAAGGTACAGGGAAGGACAACAAAAATAATTAAGGGTATAGAACAGCTTCCATTTGAGGCGAGATTAAAAAGACTGGGACTTTTCAGCTTGGATACGACTAAGGGGGGATATAATAGAGATCTATAAAATGACGACTGGTGAGGACAAAGTGAATAAGGAAGTGTTATTTACTCCTTCACATAACATGAGAACCAGGGGCCACCTAAATTAATAGGCAGCTGGTTTAAAATAAACTAAAGTATTTCTTCACACAACACACAGTCAACCCGTGGAACTCATTGCCAGGTGATGTTGTGAAGGCCAAAAGTATAATGGGGTTCAAAAAAGAATTGGATAAGTTCATGGAGGATCAGTCCATCTATGGCTATTAGCCAAGATGGTCATGGATGCAACCCCATGCTCTGGGTGTCCATAACCTCTGACAGCCAGAAGCTGTGAGTGGACAGTAGGGGGTGGATCACTCGACGATTGTCTGTTCTGTTCATTCCCTCTGGGGCACCTGGCATTGGCCATTGTCGGAAGACGGGATACTGGGCTAGCTGGACCCTTGGTCTGACCTATTATGGCCGTTCTCATCTTGTACCACCACAAAGTGGGTGTAAAATGCAATCAAATCAGAATGGTAGCTAGCATTTTATAGCCACATCGATTTAAACTGCTGCACAGGGTGAAGGGCAGCAGTGAATGGGGAGAATATAAAACCACTGATCTCAAATATTGTAGTTATTGTTTGGTGCCATACATGAGTAGTCTCAGTCCTCTTTAGGGTACGATATTTAACTGGCTAGCTGAAGTGGGGTTTTCTAAGTTTTTAAGTGAGGATTTCCAGGTACAGGTCTTTACTCATGTCAGTAATCTTTACTCGTGTGAGCAAGAATTTGCAGGTTTGTGTCATCAGCGATGCATCAAGAGTGGCTACTTCCTCATATCTGCTCTCAAGAGAGTTATTCTAGTGGAACGAAAATAACGTTACACTTGAGATTCCAGTAATGTTTGCGTGGGAACTTAAAAAAATTAGGTACTTTTCCCTCTAGGAATACACCTTGTTTAAAAAGGGGAATTTAAGCACAGTTAATGCAACTGTAGGACTCTGTTACTAAGAAATGTTATTTAAAGCTGAATTCCTGCTCCTCCCTGCCCCGTCCCCCCACAATTTTTCTACATTTGATGGGGGAAGATGCAGGAAAAGTTTGACAAGGCAGAATCCACAGAATAAATTGTTAGATTGTTAGCACAGCCCAGTCTTTGTAACAAGGTATCTTCCAATTTGAGTCCTACCAAGCAACATTGGTGCAGATCAAAAATAGCTGCCCTGGTAAGGCAAATTTAAATGGGTCACTTTCTTTTCTTTTTCCATCTACCTGCAAGATGATTTGGACACCTTGCTCTACAAAATGACAAATGGTCTCCCAGTTTTCTCAGCAATGGACACAAGCCAAACCTGGCCCTTGCTGATATACAAAATGTCCTCAGGGACAGAGCGCCAATAACCCTGGGGCAAATCAGGAAAGGGTTTGTTAATTCCCTTGGCAAGTTCCGATTCTGACAATTTAATTACTGTAATTGAATGTGAATATTAACTGAACCTTATACATTTATTTTTAAAAATATGGCACAGAAACTTGTTCTTTGGCTAAGCCGATAACTTCAGAAGGCATTTGTGATCCCAGAAAACAAGCACACTCCACAGAAATTCCTGTATTGATAAGAATTTTAATAACCATGGGCCACTGAACAGAAAACTAGCAGGGCATGGAGACAGGGAAGGAGGTGCCAACCCTAAAAAAACCCCCTTCAGTTTAGGGAAAGCTTATGTAAAACCGTAAATCATCTGGAAGGGCTGTTAAGTGCCAGAAATGTTCCTCCTCCCCTTCTATGTTGTACCTGATTAAGAAACCATGGAAACATCCTAGAACTATACACATGGCTTCTGTCCAACCTCTAGAAAGGTGAGATGCAGAAATACTTGATTTTTTGCACCCTACGAAACATGCTTTGAAGCGCTAAGCATTTACTGATATTCAAATTTTACTTTTTTTTTAAAAACACAAAGCTGATTTCAGTAATAGGTTAGCAGAATAACAACCTTACAGCATGAAATCCTGGATCCTCTGAAGTCAGTGGCAAAAGGCCAATTGACTTCAGTGGGGTCAGGTTTTCCCCCATGTTACCTTATACTTATCTAGAACCTTTCAGCCCAAAGTGAGTTACCAACTATGTATAGGAAATATTTCACCCACCACTGAAATGCAGCCACCTTTGGTAGGGAAAGGGACAGTTGTTAAAAGACACACAGAAACTTGACAACAGCAGAGGAGAGTAAGAGCTGAGTTAGTAGCACAGAAGTCCAGACAGAAAAACTGGGTCCCACGTGTTTCTAGGAGGGAAAGCGAGGTAGTAACTAATCAATCATCTACAAAATAACTGGTGGTTACTATGTAAGCAACAGTGGATCTTGTGTTAGTTCAAATAGGTTCATGAACTCTGAACAAGAGAGAAGGCTGTTCTTAATGCCTCAAGGACAAGATCGGGAGTCAGAAGATCCAGATTCTAGTTCAGCCTCTGCCACTGACTCACTATGACACCTCGGTCAAGTTCCTTTACCTCTCCATGTCTCAGCTTCCCTGTTATGTGACTTAACAGGAGTTGTCACTTACATGACTACCAGAATGGCATGGAATAAAAAGTACAGTGGCACTGAGGATGGCATAGTAGAATAAGGTTGAACATATTTTTAATTAGGACTGTCGATTAATTGCAGTTAACTCAAAAAAATTAATTGTGATTAAAAAAAATTAATCGTGTTTAATCTCAGTTTTAATCACACTGTTTAAACAATAGAATACCAACTGATATTTATTAAATATTTTTGGATGTTCTTCTACATTATCAAATATATTGATTTCAATTACAACACAGAATACAAAGTGTACAATGCTCACTTTATTTTATTTTTATTACAAATATTTGCACTGTAAAAATGATAAAGAAAAGAAATAGTATTTTTCAATTCACCTCATACAAGTACTGATCTCTATCGTGAAAATGCAACTTACAAATGTAGATTTTTTTTTGGTTACATAACTGCACTCAAACACAAAACAATGTAAAATTTTAGGGCCTACGAGTCCACTCAGTCCTACTTCTTGTTCAGCCAGTCGCTAAAAGCAACAAGTTTGTTTACATTTACGGAAGATAAATGTTGCCCGCTTCTTATTTACGTCACCTAAAAGTGAGAAGAAGTGTTCGCATGGCACTTATGTAGCTGGCATTGGAAGGTATTTACATGCCAGATGTGCTAAACATTTGTATGCCCCTTCATGCTTCGGCCACCATTCCAGAGGACATGCTTCCATGCTGATGACGCTCATTAAAAAAATAATGCATTAATTAATTTTGTGACTGAACTCTTTGGGGGAGAATTGTATGTCTTCTGCTCTGTTTT